ACACACTCACACACCCACACACACACAAGCACGCATGCGGCTGATGTGCGCCTAATTGCAAGCTTTGCTAAAATTAATTTCAAGCTTCAAATAATATTAGCCATGGGACACCAGCGAGCGAATGAAATAGCACATTCAACATAAAGTGGGCGGAAGTAAGACAGAGCTAGCATTGAAGGACAATGGACAACTTGCCACTGCACGTGCTCAACGCGGCGTATGCGTAATACGCCAGCCAGGTGATACCGGAGTGTATATATAAATCTGGCAGGTCCAGCTATGCACACTCGAGATGGGTTCAAAAAGTTGAGAAACTGAATAGAATTTGATGAAAATGTAAGCCGTTATATATTATTAATCTGTTTTAACAATTATATATTTGTTCATTAACAGTTGTTCTTAATTAATTGCAATATTTTCAAATTAAACTTTATAAGAAATGGTATATATAAATACATATATACATATTTATTCATACATCAGCTATGCATCGAAACATAAATACTTAGTATCCCGTGTCTTTATCTATCTCTTTTTGTATATCTATATCATCTAGAAAGAAAGATTTTCTTAATATTTATTTTCCTTTGCCTAAATTGTGAGTCTGTATCTATATCAATAAATTTGCAAAAATTCCTAATACCTACTAAATCAAGAGATAATATGTTTCTGCAAAAAGGTTATAAGAGAAATTAACTTGTTAGTTAGATTCAATCAATTAGGCAATATATGGATTCGAAGCACAGTAAAATAACAGCAGAACAACGGAATTTTTAGACATAAGCAAAACCAAAATCCCTCTACGGATCATCAGATGCCGCAAGCTAAAGAGTGTGGAATACTCTGCCTTGAAGACGACAAGAAACTAAACCAGGATGAGTCCTTAACGCTTAGTACATCAGGAACTAGGGCCGCGGTCTTAGTATATAAGCTTTAAGGACTCTTAAGCCAGGGACAATCCTTACATTCTTGCCAGCAGTAGGACTCAAAGACCAGAAGGTCGCAGTGCCAGATTAAATAAAATTAATAATATTATTAGCCATATAACTAATAGTGCTGATAATATAGTAAATCATTCTACCAACTTTTTGATGAGACCTTTAAGAACATTCACATTCGCATTACTCAACGCGTGACCCTCGGATAAAGTCCATTTATGCCTATTTCGGCTGTTTGTTCGCTTCGGGATGACGTTGTCGTCCTCCTAATTAGCTACGAGTCTCGTACTGTGACTGTGATTTTAGCTTAGGACTCACCTTTCCGCATTGTGGTTCTAATTTTAGGCAGCCCCAACGGTTGCCAACAGTTGCTAATCAGTGTAATTATCGTTTATGGAGCGCAAAATTATTAATAAAATTTCGTACGCTTTGCGCCCACTTTGAGCTGCCTGCATGCCTGCCTGCCTGGCGGGCTGTTTAATTGATTTATTGAGCCGTAATAATTGCAAATTGCTTTTAATTGTTTTGGGCAAAGATAAAAGCGTGTTATGGATATCACCAGCTGCAATTGGATTAACATGCCAATGCCAGGAGCGTTGACGGCACGACAGCCCGACTGACAACATAATTCAGAATGACAGAACGACGACTGCCGAGCAAGTGTGTGGCACGATGATGATTAAATCGAGCGCCTGTGATGGCATATGCCAAGTTATGGAAACGCTGTAAAGTTGCAATAGGCAAAAGCTCATGGGCAGGTTTATGGTATGAGATAAAGTTCTTACACATCATTAGAATATATATGCTTATATAAAGTATGTTTAACTGGTTGCATTAAACGATTTCCAAGACAAATACATTTCAATTGATTTAAAATGGATGCTCACTCAAAAAGGATTCAAAAATATAAAATTTTGAATACTTTAATTGGGCATTGAAAAATATCGTAAATAAGTGCCAAGCCCCTGATTATTTTAACTGAGAGCACTCAATATATATAAAGCGATATACGATTTAAAATTCTATAATTAAGGAGGTGGACAAAAATAAATTGTAACAAAGAAAATCTTGCAAAACATTATATCATAGAAAATTATATAAGCTCATACCAAAACATAATTTCAACTATCTACTAAACTTAAACTATTTTGTATATATTATTTTGAAGGGTAAAAATATATTTTTAATCGAACTTAAAATATCAACAACAATAAGCGGGCTTCCGGAAATAAGAGTTAGTTTTCTAATCAGAATCATTTCTGGATTTGATAACTAAAAGTAGATTTATGCAATTAAATAGGACTCTTTTGTGTTGCTTTGTTCAAAAATATATGTGATTTATTGTAAACTAATATTGTTTGCGGCTTCAAGATTATGATTGTATATGCATATATAAATAAATATAGCACTTGATAATAAGAGAGGAAAAATGTGTTTGAATAAAGAATTTCGCTTAATCATATTCATAAAAGAAAGAAAGCTCTTTCAACAGACTTTCTTGCACTGATATCTAACTAAGCAGAGCAATAGTATGTTGTCCTAATTTGCCTTCTAGCTTTTCCGCACAAATCCCTCTTTTGGTCTCAAGCGCACAATATATATATATATATATATATATATCTATATTTATTTTCTTATATATCCCTGGATTGATTCAAGGTCAAGGAAAATTGGAATTAAAATCTTGAATCAAACAAAAATTTGCAATATCTGTTAGTCATAATTAAAAACGATATAAAATATTTAAAGAGTTTTGAAGAAAACGAAACAATCCCTTTCAATCAATTCGCATGATATACGAAATACTCACAATTCTTTCAGTATATTTTTGCATATTATTAAGTTCATTTCTTAATCTTAAACTGTGACTGCTTGCCCCATATATAGCTATTAATTAACTTACCTTTGTGTAGCTCTCAGTGGACCGTATGTCGTTGATGGTCCATGGCAACATGGAGGCCGAATAGCGCGGATCGACGGACGCACTGCCGCGATATGTTAACGAAACGAGTCGAGTTTTCATCTTGATCAGATTGTTTTCCCTTTGGCTCGACTTGTGTGTATACTGGCTGCGTATACAGTTGGTTGTTTTCAATGTTATGTTATTTGAATATTAAATGCAGTACAAGTTCAATTTGCAATGCAAATTACATGTTCTCATTTTATTATTTGTTTTTTTGCAATTCACTTTACGCTCATTGGGTTTCTGTCCTGTTGTTGTTGCTTTGCCGTTTCTTAATTACCTTTTAATTGTTGTGATTTGCTACATGAGAGAAATGAATAAATAGGCATTAAACTGAAATCAATATTAAATTAACATGCGGCCAGTGTTCCACTTTAGAGCGTATGTCGATGTGCGAGTCCTGCATGAGTCACGCCTGGTGCTCAGGGCAGATCTTTGGGGCTAACGGGACTAACGGCATTTGTTGGTAAGGACAATGACCACCTGACTGATATACTTTTTGGATTGATAGACAATTTATTTGCGGCTCATCAACAGCCAAGTTTACTATCAATATTGATTTTTCTGTGCGCTACCCTGGCCACAGACTTTTTAATGCCCTTACAGAGGGCATTACAACATTGTCAGCAAATGCGTAACGCATAGAACGAGACAGCTTTGATGGTATAACGTATCAATATATCTATGCTAATCGCCAAATATGTTTATATACAAACTATTTCCTCAGCTGTGAGATAGCTTTTCTTTATAAGTCTATATTAATTGCATAATAATAAATACCATGTATTCAAAAATCAACTTTTATATCAAAACATCTTTCTGTTGTTCAGTTGAAAAACATTTTGAAAATCTGCACTAGGTTTGCAAGGGTATTTGAGCTTCGATACGCCGAAAAAATATACGTTCTTTCTTGTTTTACTTTATTGCCGCTTCGCATTCGCAAAGGCAGAGTTTCTGCTTCTTCTTAGCTTTTTTTTGCACGCGACTGCCAGAAATAGGAATGTGTGAGCCAGAGGACGAGAGCCACCACCACAAGTGGCTGGGGCAGGGACAGGGACAGGGGCAGGGGCAGAACGAGCCAGAATCACCCCTAAAAAAAATTCGTTCGATGGCAATGTTGGAATTTACTTTTGCATAAACATTTACATTTTACTTTCCTATGGTTTCACAATGTTTTTCTCGCTTTTAAGTTTACTTCTGCCGTTTCGCCACACACACGTACACACACATGCAGCACGCGACACATAGGCTCGCACACACACGTACGCGACACGTTTATTGGTATTCGTGGGATTTGCAACAAAATAACAAGTCAACTAACTGAATGGAGACGAATACATCAAATCGCGTTGAAATTACGTAGAGCACTGAATCGGTATCCGTACGAATGATGGCTCCAATGTTCCTGCCAGTGCGACAACGGAACAACGGAACATTTCTCTATGCCGATGTAGCGGCGGCAACGACAGACGTCCTTCGTCCTGCAGATTGGGCGCATGCGTTGATATTTGCGAACAACGCTGATGACAATAAGCGAACGCGGGAACAATCAATTGGACCGAATTGGGCTTTTTATTTTGTGTTCTTTAAGCCATTACTTAAATACTCTATTGGATATGATTTAAATTGCATTAGACTCATTGCCCGCCAAACAATAACACAAATCCAAATAAACAAATGATAGCATTCCGCAAAGAAACAGTATGAGTCTATTGGCCGACCGCCACAAATTATCGTTCACAGCTGAACAGCTGCTTGTGAAAGCTAATCACATGCATGCGCAAAAACAGTGCTGCAAAGTACTTGCATAAATAGTTAGCGATAGTAGATGGCGTTATTATTTAAATTTAAGGTAATTTTAACGTTTTATTGTTAGAGAAATTAAGGAATTAATACTTATAATTAAATTCAAAGATAAGCATACGTTAACAATAATTTACACCTATGCCGCATTTAAAGCACTTACTAACACTACCGGGCGCTTTCGTCTTCTTCTTCTTCTACTACTTTGCCAGCTTTGAGCCAAGTTGTTGTAAGCCATGTTTTAGCCACTTAGTTTGTGCTGGAACACGTTAGGCAACAGGTGTGTACCGATTGCCGCTGTTGCGCTTTGTTCGATCTGCGTGTGATTCGTGGGTACGTTTTCGGTATATTTTCTAGGGTGTGCGTGTAGAAGAAGAGACTTTCACTCCGGTTCAAAGCCCAAAGGCAGACAGCAGCAGATGCGACTAACGCTAACATTAATTAATGCGCTTCGCACGCGTTGTCGTTATTTCAAACTTCAAGAGTGGCTTAAAGCTGCTGGCCTATGAGTTTTTTACAGCTCCTCCGGCTCTCGCGTTTTCGCATTCGCATATGTCGTTTAATATTTCAACTTATATTGGTTAATTTCTCACCAACGACAAACACAATGAGCCGCCGTCAGCTAGGTGTGTGTGTGTGTGTGTGTGTGTGCGTGTGCGTGTCTGTGTGAAAAAGGGCTATAAAAAAGATATGGAACAACAACAATAACGAAAATAGAGACTTTTGTCAGCGACAGCGACGGCAGCACGACTGTTTTGAAAAGTACCGTTAGTGCGCGAATGGAGTATTTAAAGTTAATTTAAATAATGAGGAATTTGCGCTCATAATTGATTTAAGTAGCGCAACAGACAGCAACAACACAGCTCATGCATTTGCATAATTTTCCACACACATACACACACACACACACACACATGAAAATTCGCTGCGCTTTAGTTGCCAGTTGCAGTGGCAGCAACAAGTGGCATTTGTTGTTGTTGTTCCTGTTGTTGCACTCACACAGTTGCACGGCTCGTTGTGTACTTAAATGGCCAAGTTAGAATCCACATTCCACAAAAAGAACAACCACAACACAATGCATCTAGAAGGAAGTGGCCAAGCAACGGCAATCGAGCACCAACAACTACAACTACAACTACAACAACAATAATCTATTAGTTTGTGAGCAAATTTCAAAATAATTGCACATTCTAGACAATTTAGCCCAGGCACGAAGAACTGAGTGCTGTGGAAAACTGCAATGATGTGCATTATTTGTAATTTGTACAAGCACACACACACACACAGAGCCAAATACACAGGTGAAACAGGTAGGCCGGCGCAGTAAGCGTCGACCGCGACCGCGACTGCGTGCAGTTTTTCATTCTTAGCGTCCCACACACAAACACACACAAGCGCGTGCGCGCGCTCGCTCGCGATCCAATTGGATTTTATGTCAAGCTTCGTTGACACGACTCTCTTCTTCTTCTGGTTGTTGTTGGTGCTCACATATGTAAATATACATACATACATACATATGTTTGTATGCTTATTGAACTAGTTAAATCTATAACCTCGCTGGCCTTAATTATCATAACAATAGACAAAAACAAAAAGGCCCACAAATAACCCGCAGCGCAGCTTCAAGATTTGCAGCGGCAGAAGAGTGTATAAGAATGTGGCCCAAAAGCGAAATAGTCACAACATAATTAGAACGAGCGAAAGGCAGGTAAATAGCGCGCGGTCAAATGTCGCACAGTGGCGTGCGCAGCACACAAACCAAGAGTCAAAGGCTGCAGAAACATGAAAGCCAAATCTACTCTAAATGCAAATGCAGTGTGACCCATCAAATTGATATTGGAATTGGAACAGTTAGAGATGGGGCCTTGCATCGATTAGGGTGAATGGTTGTGATTGGTCAATGGAAAATTTAGAAGAATAAAAATGAATGGAAACCTCACATGTTATTTAACCCAAAGGAATAAAGGGCTGGCGCTTAAAACAAATTAATAAAATTCGTAATTTCTGCTTTGAAATGAGAAAAGTGATGGCCTAGCTTTTGTTGTGCTCGTTAAATGCGTTTTCAATGGCGTGAAGTGGAGCAGTTTAATTGAAGAATTGGTATTCGTAAATATTCATATTTTGCAAAATTTAAAATTCATAATCATAAAACGGTGATTGTGCTTCTATTGTCACTAAAATAGCAAATGGGATAGAGTTCGACAAAAAAGCTTCAGACAAAGCTTTAACATTTCAAAAGAATTCATAAGCACGCGCTAATGTCATGCACACACACACACACACACGCACATGGCATCACCTCTGATCTTGCCACATTCCCAATTCTAATGGCAACCACTGTGCGACGAGACAAGTTGCGACTTGTCGCTGGCGATGCGTGAGCCGCGCGCTGTGCGCTGCGAGGTGTCTTGGTAGCACCTGTTGTAAATGTAACCGGCTCACGTTGCGTCTTATAGGAAGCCGCAGTCATCGCCCGCCCCTAGCCCGAAACAGGAAGGCTAGAAAAAGACCAAAAAAAAAAAATGTATATGAAAAAAATTGAAAAGAGCGTACTGAAAAACCGGTTGCTGTGAAAACGAAAAACTTTATCTGACTGTTGCATGCTTTTTTCTTTTTGTGTGAGTCTGTGTTTTTTTTTTGTCGTGACATTTGGTTTTTCTTTTCCACAGTTCCAGTTTCAGTATTCAATTTTGGTGAAATCAATGCGTAGAAAGTGAATTGCTAGCGCTTTGACATTACGCAAAAGCCACGCGAAAAGTGAAAATCACCGCACAAACTGGACTTTGCCGAAAACGGGTGAATACTAGCATTTGCTCAGCGTGCTTTGATTGCCTGCCAAATCATCAACTGGCCGAATCGAACCGAACCGAACACGAAGCGGTTCGTGCGGCCGCCGATGCGTCTGTTAATCCAAACGGCAACGGCAACGGGCGGCGCTGCTGCAGCTGCTCTACAGTCCCACTCGCAGTCCCAGTACAATTACAGTAGCATGCGTGAGGACGATATCGAGCTGGCCATTAAGGTGGTAAGTTATCCAACACACATTGGCAGCCTCCTCCCCCCTTCCCCCTCCCCACTCCTCCAACAGGCACAGACCACGCTATTAGAATGATGAATGTGTCCAGTTGCAATCAGCTGAAGATAGATTAAATGATACACTGGCAAAAAATGCAATGTAGGATTCTATTAAATGGAATTTCTTAATTAAATACAAGAAAATACTTTTTTCAAGAAGTTTATTGTGAGCATTTCATTAGCGAAAGATACTTGGAGTAAATAGAAAATATGCACTATTTTCCTGATTTCGGTTACTCAAGATAAGCGAAAAATCAAATTAAATTCTTTAGATAGAATACTTCGGTAATTTATATTTTGTATTCTCGCAATTAATAAAAGTTCTTAAAATGGGAATTTCAGAAATTTAGAACTTTTTGTTTTATTGAAAGCGCTTTTACTTCATTTAAGTACAACACTCTTGACGCTTTTCTCTCAGTGTAGTTGCTGTGCGCGTTTGTGCCGTGGATAAGCGTTAAATAATAACCCCTGCACAACACACACACACACACACACACACACCATCAGCTACTTATATATACATATGTAAGTCAGAACAGGCAGAACAATCACTGATCATTTACAACGGTAATTTTTCGCCGGTGAATGGGAAATTCTGAGGAAATGCCTCTTCTAGAATGTGTGACTCTTAAACAAAGCTGCATTCGAGTTTCCACCTGAGGATTAAACGAATGAAAAACTCTTGCTTAAGTGATTAAATAAGAGATCAAGTAAATGCTAAATAACTTCTTTATATCTTTATTCTCCTATGTTCCTAGAAAATCTTGATAAAAATATGATTATTCTCAGATTTGGAAACTTAAACTAAGCATTTGGAAATTGATCTTTAATAGATCTTTTGACAAATATTATATTTAAAATTGAATTAATTATTATAATTTTAATTATTTTAAACGAGAAATGAACTTATAGCTGATAAATCGAACACCTGCTTTTGACCTTTTCAGGTGATCGTCGGCAATGGAGGCGTTGGCAAGTCCTCAATGATCCAGCGCTATTGCAAGGGCATCTTCACCAAGGACTACAAGAAGACGATTGGCGTTGATTTTCTGGAGCGTCAGATCGAGATCGATGGCGAGGACGTGCGCATTATGCTGTGGGACACGGCCGGCCAGGAGGAGTTCGATTGCATAACCAAGGCGTATTATCGGGGCGCTCAGGCCTCTGTGCTGGTCTTCTCGACGACAGATCGCGCCTCCTTCGATGCGATCAAGGAGTGGAAACGCAAGGTGGAGAACGAGTGCAACGAGATACCCACCGTGATAGTGCAGAACAAGATCGATCTAATCGAGCAGGCTGTGGTCAGTGCGGACGAGGTCGAAACGCTGGCCAAGATGCTCAACTGCCGACTGATACGCACCTCCGTCAAGGAGGACATCAATGTGGCCTCTGTGTTCCGCTATCTGGCCACCAAGTGCCACCAGCTGATGACGCAGAGCTACGACCAGGCGGCCGGCACCGACGGCAACAACAGTCAGCAGCAGTCAACGCATCCGCCCTACAGCAGCACGCCCACCATCAGCGCCTTCAGTCCGACCTTCACCAAGTCCAGCAGCGGCACCATTGTCCTGCGCCCGGCCAAAAAGGGCGCCAGCTCCAGTGCGGCGCGAAAGCGTAAAATTGTGCTCAAAAAGTGCGGCATCTTGTGAGACGGCTAAGGGTAAGGGGTACGCGGGGATCTGTGCAGCTTTGGCCAATTAATAACTGGAGCATATTTAACGCTTTATTATTTTAGAGCCCCAAATCAAGTTGTAGCCATGTGACCAGCCAAGCGTTGGATGCAGCCACAGCCACAGCCAGAGCCAGAGCCTCAATCAAGTCGCAGTCAGAGCCATTCACTAGTCGTGCACAGACTCCGCAATGTTGGCAGTTATTGCATGATATGTGGAGTGGAGCAGGGGAAAGGGGGAGAGATGGGAATCGGGGGGTGTGAACAGATAAAAAAAAACATAAGCACACGAATAGTTCAGTGAACAAAAACTTTGGCATAACGAAGTTTAAATACCCTTGTAGTCAGCAACATAAATAAATTAGAATATTTCCGATTTTGGTCCACTTTAACTGCCTAAACTTTGAGTTAATTGACTAATATTTCAGTTAATCCTTATACCTGCAAAGTATCAGCAGATTTAATATATTCTTCAAGTTTTATTTAGTTATTTTTCAAGTCGCTAAAAATTGAAATAGCTAAAATTAGTAAATCGTAAACCAGGAAGCTCTATATTATATCATAAACTATTTAATAACTAATAATTCAAAAATATTGTCAGGAGTTAAATATATTTTGGTACGTCTACTGACAGAAAGTAAAACATACAACAACAACAACAAACAACCCTTTAAAAAATACAAAACAAGAATTTATGATTAAATTTATTAAGTAAACCAAATTCTCTTCCTTTGGAATCTGATTTTATATGCAACCAATTTTGATCCACTTAAGAATTTTGCAAATTTTAAATTTCAAACCATGTTGCTTTACAAAATGTTTAAGATACGATTAAATTTGCTTTCCCTGCGTTACGAACAGCTTTTAGATATGTATAAGACCCCTCTGCAAGGGTATTAACAATTACAAGCTCAAAATGCATGTGCAATAATTTATGCAACTACTCAAATTTTTAGTCTAATTAGTTAAAGATAAGCATGTAACCGACTTTTCACTGTATAATGCCCACTTTTCTATAACGGAGACTGATGCAGCATTCAATATATATATATAATTATTTATCTAAATATATGTGTGTGTGTGCGCCTGTAAAATTGTATATGTATCTATATTAATACGAGTATTTATACCCTATATATAGCTATGTATATTTTCCAACTACAGCAAAGATTGGCTCTTTGGCACGCTAGCACCGCCCCTTCCCCAACTTGAGAGGGGGGGCTGCGGGTTAGAGGGCGCCTTCGTGTGAATCCTTCGCCAATTAGCCCTGGCAAAATGTGCAATTAATTGCCCAACTCATTTAATTATTAACCAAGCAAGAGGCATGTCGAAACGCAATTATGTCGGCTAGTGTACTATGCAAAGTAAGGGGCTACGTTTTGTCATTGATCCACTTAGCATGAGAATAGATCTGCGAATCCAAGCCCAAAATATGCAAATATTAACTATAGCTACATTATTTTAACAAAATATGTTATAACCTAAGTTCATAAACATTAAACTAATAAATTATTTTGTATATTTAACAATGCATGTGTTTTTTTATCAATCATGAATTTAATGCTTATATTATTTTAATTTTTATGCCAGCAAGAGCTATTATAAAAGGAAATATAAAATTCTGCAATCTTAAAACTCGAGTCTCTATTTATACCCTGATCCCATTAAAAACGGTTAAAAGGGGTATATTGTATTTGTGCAAAATGTAAATGTATGTAACAGGCAGAAGGAAGCATTTCCAACCCATATATATATATGTATATATATATTTTCTTGATCAGCTTCAATAGCCGAGTCGATCTAGCCATGTCCGTCTGTCTGTCTGTCTGGCCGTCCGTCCATCCCTCTGTCCGTATATATGAACGCAAGGATATCAGAACCTATAAGAGCTAGAGACTTGAAATTTAGATGCAAGCGCCCCTAGTGCCTGCGTAGATTGAGTATGTTTCCGATAATCGATAACTTGCCCCGCTTCCAAGTTATCGATAAAAATCGATATCGACATCCTGTTCTTTAAGCAATTTTGGTAAATTATAAGAGCTAGTCACAAAACTTGACATGTAGTTTCTAGAATAGTATATATATTTGCATTTGCTGTTGGAAGAAGAGGGTTCAGGGTATACCCTAGTCGGGAGCTCCCGACTAGAACCTCTTACTTATTATCAGTTAAAATATCTGGAGAAATTTGAAAATATATAAATTCTATGCCCGCCAAGATGGCATATAATCTAACTTTTCAAGTTTCTACTAATATGTGTAAATTGACGTCAAACGAATTTCCTTGGCAGATTTTGAAGACCTCATTAATGTCTAACAGAATTTCATAACTGTATAAAATCCTCAACGGATTCTATAAAAAAAGTGTAATTCATTGAAGAATATAAGGCATATATATTCCTGATCATTGATGACAAGCAGGTTGAAATATCCGTCATTCTGTCTGTCTAGTTAAATTCAATCTAGTTGGTCAGTTTAAAGTTATCTTGGCGAGATTTGTCATTCTATCTTTTTAAGGCAGGCATTCTATTTCGGAGTTGCCTGGATCAGATCACTATACTATATGTTGGCCAAAAACACTTGGCCTTTTTTGTTATTGCAGGATATACCTGCAAGATCCTGCAACCTATATAGATAACTATACGTCCCACGTATGAGAAAATCCCATCTGGGTATACTTTATTTATTAATATTATATCAATAGGAAAAATCGGTAGTAAAATAAGTTCCTATATGATGATGTTTCTGTTTTTCAAAATATTCAACGCAAAATCAGCAACTACAGACGTTCATTTAGCAATATCTAATTTTCAAGATCTTACGATTATATAATATAGCTCATATAGGAACAATCGGCGGTAAGCTAAGTTTCTGGGAGAAAAAAGGGTTATGTGGATAAATGTATCGCATATCTGTATCGCATATCTCCATGCGCCCACAATTATCAGATGCCGAAAAAAGCCATCGAGAACTTTACAATTTTTTTTTTTTTTATTTGATTTTCGCTTTTACACGGTTTGTTGTTGTATGCTTGCTGACAATTTGTTGTTAAACCTTCGTTTGCTTATGTTCTTTTTTAATTAAATTCAAAATGGTTAAAAGTAAAATTTAGTTTTTTTGTTTGTTTGTTTCTTCTCTATGTACAGTTGCGCTTCATTTAATTTAAGCAGTTTTTTGTTTTGTTTAACCTCTTCACGCAATATTCCTCTTTAATGTGTATATATTGTATGTTGTTGTTGTTGTTATTGTTGTTGTTGTTGTTTCCTTGTAAGTTATATAAGAAAGGCAAAAATATTTGTGATTTTCTATTTACAGAGAGAATTGATAACTTTATAGGATAGTGAGAGCTATAGGTGTTAGATAGGCGGGGCTACGCCTCCGTGATCAAAAAACTTTCTCAGTTTGTGTGTGTGTATGTTTGTATGTGTGGTGGGTGTCATATGGTGGGGCGTGTGCAAAACTTTGAATGATTTGGGGGCGGGGGCAGAACTATGAAAATGCCTATAAAAATATAATTTATGCGTATAAATATTTGTTATATATATTTTAATTGCTAGAAAAAATTAATGTGAATTGCAAACAATTTCTTGGCACTAAAATATTAAAGGTGCGTTTTTTTTTTCAAAACTTTAACAAAAATCTAATTGAATTTATTTGATTTTGTGGTCATTTTTATTTGAAATAAAAATAGTTTGTGTGTGTGTGTGTGTGTGTGTGTGTGTGTCTGTGTGGGACTTTAGTCGAACTCATTTACAGCTGTGATATAAGATTATACATTACAGATGTAGAGACTATAGACAACTATGATAGAACTTTAGCCGTTAGTTTCGTTACTTTTTTTTTTGTTTTTTTCCATTTGCAGAATTTGTAAACATTAAATTATTTAAGTATATAACTTTCTTCTTCATGTGCTATGTGAGTTTCTTGTGTGTGTGTGTGTGTGTGTGTGTGTGTGTTGCGCCGTCGTCTCCGCCATGGCTCACTTGTCAAAGGCGGTAGTTGTGGGTTGGGGTGGCGGAGGAAGGTGGCGATTCCTATATAAATAGTAAGAGTTTTAGCCTAAATAAACACGTCGCGACGTCTGTTGCCATTTCTATGCCGTTATCTACGGCTTCAGGACATCCTATATATAATTATATATAAAAACTTGTATTATTCTCGTACACTATTCGGAAATGGGAAAATCGGCTTCATCCTTGCCCTCTAGCGAGCGATACTCATCGGAATCCTCGCTAATGGTTGCCGTACCAACTGATCTTGGTAATATTGCCGCTGTGTTTACAATTGGCTCCACGACAACAACAACATCGCTAACTGTTGCCGACGTCGTTGTTGTTGGTGTTGTTGGTGTTGTTGCTGCTGCTGCTTTGGATACATAGATAGAGACTGGCTCTTCGACCAGCTCGCTTGGATTTGCAGCCGAAACAGGATTGGGTACATTTGTGGTAATCGTTGTCGTCGTGTTGTCCGCCACAGGCTCCGACTGTGCAGCTTCTTCCTTTGATTTCTTCTCACCCTCCTCCGCCTGTTGCGGTTGTTGTTGTTGTAGTTGTTGTGTTGGGGATTGTGTTATTATATCAGCAGAGGCCAACAGTAGATCCAACTTTAGTTTTCTTGATGCCGTTGGCTGCTCTGTTATCACAGACTGTGCTTGAGTTGCCGTCGCTGCTGCCGTTTCAGTTATTGTTGTTGTTATTGTTGTTGCTGCTGCTGCTGCTGTCGCTGTTGTTGATTCTGTGCCGCCGCCGCCGCCAGCAGCAAGCGCCAGCAATTCATCCTCCTCACTAACGCTGATGTAGCGACAGCGCTCGCTGAGCAACGAGGCCGACTCGTCCTCCTCTTCGTTAACGCTAGAGATGCTCACCGTGCGCTCTTTGAAACTCTGATAGACGCTGCTGCCAGCAATGCTAGTTGAACCGGGCGCATCAATTACATCTCGCACCGCCGTCGCCAGCTGCCAGCGGCTAATAACGCCGATTGAGCTTGCTGCTAAAAAAAAATTAGTGAGAGAAAGATTTAGTTAGTTAATTGTTATTTGTTATCTGAATTAACAGCTGTTAGTCAACAATTAGTGACCGCTCAAGCTTGCATTTTAAGAGCCCATGTTCCCCTTAAAGTGTGCTAATAAGAACATTTAACTAAACCTGATTATAATTCTTCATGCGGACAAACAAAAAGCGGACAGTTTAATTATTCCAAAAGTGTTAATACAGAAAGTATATTTACAGAGATCAATATTTCTCAGTTTCTCTATATATACATTCTATAGAATTTATTCTATTGTTCTTTTAGATAGAATTATTGCAGAAATAGTTTCAGTAAAGACTAGCCAAGTAATTCGTTACTAGTTCCAAGCACAGTTCAGCTCTTTTATTTTTATATAAAATAAGCTTAATTAAATATTCGAATTAATTGGAAGTACATTTTCAATCCGTTTTAGCTATACTTATTTAACCTAATAACAAGTTCTTTACTTTTTATCAATGCAATCAAAGAGATTAAAACTAAAATCTGCTTCTGGAACTAGCATTTTAAATGGTAAACCCACAAAATAGGTTACTTCATAACTGTTAAGCAGTTCTTCACAATTCCCTTGTCTCCACTTAACAAATATAATTCTCATATTTATTTAATTAATAGTTCCCGGAATAACTAATTAACCAGTCAAAAGCTTCAGTTTATCACCGCGTGACTGTTAGCCGCCCGCTCACTCACTTACATTCCAAACGCTCACGACGCAACGGATATCGCGAGGACAGTGGCGCCAGCTTGATCCGATAGAACTTGGACCCCTTGCTGACACGATAACGATTCTCGTCCTGTGTGGCAAACAATAGGCTTAGTTTGGATTTACTGAAGGGAGACTATTTACTGTGAGCTCACCTTGCGCGCCTGGCAGTACTCCTTGTCGATTATGCGCCCGATAGCGTAGTAGGGCAGCGGTATGTGATTCAGTTCCGCGACAGCCAGTGGCCCCTCGGCGCCAGGCGGCAGAGAAGAAGAAGATGCCGTCGTCGTAGGCGCCGTTAGCTGCAGAGCGGGCAAACTGTCCGCATGCACAAAGTAAAGGGTGAGCGAATCCTGCACGACCATGAACTGTCCATGCCGCATGCTCCAAATCACAAACACCAAATCGCCCTTGCTGCAGCCCTCGAGTGTGATGTGGCGATGACTCGACGAGGAGGAGCCGCCGCCGCCGCCGCCACTTGACTTGGAGCGCGTCAGTGTGCCGCTCATGCCTGCAGCGCCCAGTTCATAAGTGGAACTGTTTTTATAGGAGAAAAAATGCATCAATCACTAAATAAATCAATCAATCAATCTGTCGCCCAGGTATCAGTCAGTCAGTGATTCAACCGATACGTCAATCTACCAGCCAAAAATTATCTGGTTAATTATAATTATATTAAGTCATTTAGTAACTCAATCAATAAGTCACTCATGCGGTTGGTAACCAGCCAGATAGTCAATCAATCAAACAATCCCTAAATTCTTCATTCAGTCAGTAAATAAAATAGACAAATCGTTATTCAGTCAATCAATCAATCAATCATTCAATCAGTTCTTTTATCAGTCAGTATATAAGCCAAGACAGAAAATCCGACCTTTAGTCATCAGTTAGACAGCCAATCGGTAAGTCAATAGATTAATTATACAATCCCTTAGCTTATAAGCCATCAGTCAGTCAATCAATTGGGCGGACAATCACACCGTTAGCCAGTAAATCAATAGGCTATTCAGTCAATCAATTATTCAATCAGTCAGTATATACGCCAAGTCAGAGAGTCAATCAATAATAATAAATTAGTTGGGCAGTAGTAATCAGTCAGTTAGTCAATCAATTATTCAATCAGTCAGCTTATAAGCCAATTCAGTCAATCAAATCAAATAGATAGACAACCATACTGTTAGTCAATCAATTAGTCATTAGTCAGTGCACAGTCGAGCAATTATTCAGTCAGTCAGTTTAATAGACAACAGTCAGTTGAATCAATCAGTGTATCAGTCAATCAGGTTGATGAACTCACCTTCTCATTGCAGCCACACTGGACTCCATTTCGAGCCGCTTGCTCTTCTCCTGGCTGAGCTCCTCCTCCAGCCGGCACTTGTCGCGGCTCAGATAGTCGATCTTCTCCTTTAGCCAGCTGTTGCCATCCTCATTGGTGAGCATCTCGAGACGCGTCTTGAGCTGGTAGCTCTCCTGTGTGAGCAATTGATTCTGTTCACGCAGTAAGTCCAGCTGTCGCTCCTTGTCCTCTAAAACGTCCTTCAATATAGACACATTGGCCATCACAGATTCTGAGTTCAGTGGCGGCAACTGTTGCCGCGACTGCCAGAGAGCGCGCTCCGCCTCGACAGCTTCGCTGATGGCGCGCTCCCGTTGGGCGAGCAACTCCTGTCGCTGCTGCGCCAGAAGCTGTTCGACATCCAGGCTGGCCACACTGGCGCTGCTCGTGGGCCGCTCCAGCTTCTCCAGGCTGCTGTCCGACGGCGAACGCTCCATTGAGGTCATCAGCTTGAAGCGGCAGCGCAGCGATTCCAGCTCAGTTTTGTGCTCGTGTATTAGCTGCTCGCGTGCCTGGGCAACGGCCGCCATCTTATCCTGGTCCGCCGCCAGCAGCTGTTGACGCAATTGCTCCAGCTGCTCCGCCTGCTGCTGCTCCCGCTGCTCGCACTGCATGCGGAGCAGCTGCCACTTTTCCTGCAACATCTGCAGCTGCGACTGCAGTTCATCCTGGTAGCCACGGGTCAGCTCGTTGCGCAGGCTACTCAGATTGGAGCGCGCCATGGCCAGGCACTGCAGCGCCAGCTTGGACATGTCCTGGAGGGCATCGCGCAGCCGCTGCACGCTGCCAGCATTGTCATCCGTCAGCGTGCTGGCGCTGAGCATCAGCAGCTGTTCCGTGGCGGTGCTGCGCGCAATCTGCTCCACATTCTGGCTGGTGGAGGTGCTCACGCTTTGTGTGCTGACAGGCTGACAGACAGCTGTTGGCGCCAGTTCCATCTGCTCCGGTTGCGCTGCCGTCTTGTGCCGCTGCTCAAAGAACTGCAAGACGGGGGCCATGTCCGGCAGCTGGAGCTGCGTGGCCAGGTCGGGCAGCTGGGCGGACAACAGCTCAATATCGGAGCAGCTCAGCTGGGGCAGACGTGTGTCGAAGCTGAGCTCGGGATGCTCATTGGCGAACGTGGGCGGCATATCTGCCATGCCCGGAAATAGAATATTCAAAAAGTGACCATCGAAGCTGTCGTTGAAGAGACGCCGCCGCTCCATCTCCTCGCTGTGGATGCGATCAAAATCAACCGACAGCCGCGATGCCCACAAACGGAACTCATCCGAGAAAATCTTGCGACGCACCACCTCCGTAACGGCCGCCACATAGGTGTTCGGCGCCCGATGTATCTGCTCGATGATGCTGATGTGGCGCTCGGCCCGCCGCAGGCACCGCAGATAGAAGAGCAAGCGATTGTCGAACTCGCTCATTCCGTTCTCGATCCAAACGATGCGACGCAGACGCGTGTTCAGATTGCGTCCCAGCTCCTCCTTGGAGTTGGCTATGCAGCGACTATATTCGCGTATCTTAATATGATTATCGCGCATCACCATCAGCTGGGAGCGATGCGAGAGGCACAAATCGGGCAGCACCGAGTTATCGCGCAGATTCACCGCACGGCTTTCGTTTTGTTGGAACGCTGTCGCCTGTTCCCGCTGAACCTGGACGATTTTGCGTATCTCGTACTTGAACTCGTCGAGACGGTACAGACGATCGCTCAGGCCTTTGATCTCCTTGACGTCGCTCTGCTTGGCACTCTTGATGATGTTCTGCACCTCGAGCTTCAGTTTCTCGTAAATTTCCAGGGAGAAGGTGTCCAGTCCCTGGACGCACTCATCGCACATTTGCTGCAGCGCCGCGTGATTGCCCTTCGAGCTGATCCACTGCAGCAGATTGAGCTGGTGCTGCTGCTGCTGTTGCTTTGAGTTGGAGGTTTCCTCTTGCTCATCTTGTTCGTGACCCATTTTCAGTTTCTTGTTGGGCGATGTACTGCTGCTGCTTTTCTCCACGCTCTCGCCCGCCTCCCCCACCTCAGTCTCCGTTGCCGGCTGCAGCTGCCCAACGTCTTCGTCAACGTTGTCGTTGCCGAGCAGCTCGTCAAAGCCATGGAAATCGGCCTGGGCCAGCGCCATCAGTGCCGGCAATATGGGTATGCGCGCCAGCTGCTTGAGATCATCGCCAAAGTTGCGCAACAGTTCCAGGTAGCTCTCGCGCTGCTCCAGATGACGATCGAAGGCCAGACAGAAGTTGTGAAAGCGCTCACTGAACTCGCTCGTCAGATCCTCCATGTTGGCCACCACCGCAGACCAGCCCTGCTGCTGCAGATGCTGCTCGTGCACCAGACGCTCGCACAACAGCTCCTCTTTGCGGCCCAGTTCGCGCAAGCGCTGCGCCAGCGTTGCACGTTGACGCACCGTCTCCAGTACAGCGGGCTGATTCTCCTCCACCTGACGTCGCAGTTCTGCATCTATCACTTCACTGGCTGTCCTACCAGCGCCGCTGCCACCGCCTCCGCCGCCGCTCCCGCCGCTGGCTATCGTTGGCGCCAGCCGCTCGTCGCCGGTGAGAAACATAAAAATTGGATTCGTATCGGTGCCCGCCGAATAGCAGGACACCTGTGTGGAGTGTGTCAGCATCTCGCCTCCGCTAACCAGCAACACAATATTGGCAGCGGGCAGGCCGTGTAGCCGTTGTATTGTCTCCTTAAGATTCTCCACCGAGGACAGAGCAACGGTCATATCGAAGCTCAGCATGCGACCGACGTCCACATGGAATACGTACAACATCATGAGGCAGCAGCTGTCGGTGATTGTTTGGGCTTCAACGGTTGCTCTCCTCCTCCTCCGCCACCTACTTCTACACTTTGCTTCTTCCTCTTCTTCTTCTTGTCTCCTCTTTGTTTGGCAGTGCTAATGCTTTCCGAGTTCATGCAAGTGCATGTGCACGTGTGTGTGTGTGTTTATGTATGTTTGCTTCACGTGGTGCTGCCACCTAGCGTTGAGAGGCTGCAAAACAAGGCAATAAAAAGAAAGAGAACGTTAACAGTGGCGCAGTTCTGAGGGGGTCATCATTATTTTATTGTACTATCTGCTTACATTAATTTGTATTTAAGGCATAAAAATTCTTTTTCTGACTTCACGCGCACATGCTAGTCGCCATCGGTGTATCTACAATTAACATTTAACAGACGCTGTTAACATGATCTAATGCTAGCGATAACATGCCAGCTAGATTAGACACTATGGCGCTGCTGGTGGCGGGCAGCAGTTCAAATGTTAATGACTAAACGAACGCTGCCGTCGACGTCGCTGCTTGCTGCTCGCTTTTAAAGTCGCAATAAAGAACTAGTTGTTTTTGTGGCTGTTTATTCAACTCGAGTTGTTACATGTATATAATACATATTGTTTACAATTTGTCTGGCAAACTTTGGCGCTTGTGCAAACGTGGACGGAGCGATAAGAAATTAATACAAAAATAGCGCCGATTTGGCTATGTATGTAAATTGCACACGGGAACAACAACAGCAACAACGGATGTTATTATCAACGCACCTTAGTTAAACCAAAAACAAAAAAACGTCTAGACTTGCGGGCGTAACAAACAGAACTAACAGACGTCGACGCCGCAGACGCTTACGACGCTGTTAAGAGCAGGGCTACACGTGTGCGCGATCCCTCAACTTAAACGCGTGTGAGAGAGGAAAAGAGCAAAAGAGCGAAATCGAGTTAAAGAGAGATGGAGACGCGTTTTGTATTACCTGCGACGTCTTTTGCTGCCTGTTTTTTTTTTTTACCTAGGCGAATTTCATAATTTTTGGAAAAGAAACATCTTTTCTCAAAATTGCTTTATTAAGTTTAGGTAACAAGAAAGCCTCACTAATTAGGGGAAATATTCATTTTTGTACAAGGGAAAAATGCCAAAAATTCCCCTGTCTTGGTTCCTAAACTGTTAAAAAAGTATTACGCTTTCAATTGAAATAGCAACTGCAGCAGGGACAACAAAATGACAGCTTTAACTTTCGATTACTCATCAATGAAATTAAAGATCGCCCCACGGTGTCCACCTGATAACAGCTTATCAACGCAATTAAGTACAAAGACCATGCATACGCACAAACATACATAAGCACGTATGTACAAGCATGCACAGGTGCATTCAATTGTACATACCTGTGACATGCAATGTAATTAAAGCGCATAAATCAAGTTCGCTGTACAAACAGCACCAGATAACAGCTGTTAGCGCAGGGTTGGGGGATTTGCAGATTGCCCTGAACTTTGTGCGTTGGGGTCATTTGGCAGCATCTCCGCAGACTGCTAACTGATTACATTCCATGTTAAGCTCAAAGCAAGCAACAACAACAGCAGACGACGTCGACGACAACGGCGACGTCAGAGTTTATCGGCGTTGCAGGAGGGCAAAAACAGCAGCACGAAACACACACACAAGCATACACACACACATATATATACATATGTATATATATGTACATTCACACGCACGCACAAGAGCAGTCATTAATTAGGAATGTCACATTCTGTTTTTGTACGATTGTATATATATTTATTATATTTTGTATATATTGTTTGCGTTTTTGTTATTGTCCTGCTGTTAAGTAAAGTAGGTTATGAAGCGTAAATTGTATTATTATTGGTAATGGCCAAACATACACACACATAAACATGTAAGTTAAACAAGCAGAGCCTACTTAAGCTAGTGCGCTCGCGGAACTTCAAGGCAAAAAAAAAGTGCGATAAACAAGTAAAATAAGATAAACATGACAGTTAGTTGCTAAGTTTTACCGAAAATTATGGAGACCTTGCTTAAACCCGTCGATACGCAGCTGTTTGTGAACAGCTGATGCGCGCGATCACATCACGATTGCATTACATTAATAAAAACAGCAGTAACAGCCAGTTTTGAAGCACATATGATATTTCTGTCGCTGGGTTGGCAGCACTGGCCATCACAAACTGCACTATGCACTTGTATGCGTATTCATTTGCTTGTGTTTGTGTGTGCGTTTGTGTATTGTTTTGGCCTGCACTTTGTTATATTCCATTACGTTGCATTTTGTCTACGCGCCGATTGTTTTGGGCTAGCAAAAATGAATTGAGCGAAAACGCAGAGACACAGAGATAGAGAAAAAATGACAGTTGCAATTACCAAACGTTATAATTTGTGCGAAAACTAATTTAGATATGCGCTTAAAATATGTAAATTGTTGCAATTAATTGTAATTTGGCTCGAACCAACCGACGCACACAAACAAATAACAACAGCACGAAAGAAACAAGGGTTGCCTGACGTTCAAAAAGAAAATGGCAGCAGGTGCAGAGCTGCATTTGGTTTCACAGTGTTGGAGCGGGAGTGGGTGGGGATGTAGGCATGGGGCTTGTGGGCGGCCATTCGAAATTTATGCAGCAAAAAGGGCGTCATCAGCAATGTACTTGTTTGCATAAACTATAACTATAGATGCTTAATTAAAACGATGTGGTAGCTGCTGGCAGCCTGCCTCGCACTTACCTTGTAATCTTTAATCAATTTTCACAATGGCTGGCCTGTGTGTGTGTTTTTATATATGATTGTATTTGTTTGTTTGTGGTCTGTCCGTGTACGTGTGTTTTGGTTTTAATCAATTGAAAACGCTCACGAACACGAACGCTGCGAATGATTTGACATCAGCTGTGGCTGTGTGTGCCTGTATGTGTGTGTGTGTTTGTTTGTGTGTGTCCGCAGCAGCAGCGACGTTGACGTCGGAGCCCAAAACAAAAGCTGCTGGTGGCCAGCTTTAGCTTCTCCTTCTGCTCCTTCTTCGTCTTTTTCTGTTCTCTTAGCGTCAGCGCCAGCGTTTTTGCTTTTCCTTTAATAATGTATATTCTTATTTATTTTGTACAGCATTGCTTTTGCCTGTTTATTGCTTTTTCCTTATTTTTTGTATCACTTTTTGTTGCGTATAAAAAAGAAATCAGAGCAATGTGTTAAAGCTGCCCAAACTCACGCGATATGCTTAATATTAATATATGTTGCGTTTTGTTTTTGTTTTGCGTTATATTATTTTGTTGTTGGGCTCTTTGCTGTTTCGTTTTCCCCTTCTTAATCTATTTCTTTGTCTATCACAATTGCGTTGTTGTTGCTGCTGCTGTTGTTGTTGGTGCGCTGGTCGCTGCTGCTGTGGTTGTTGTTTTTGGCAGTTATATTTCGCGTCAATTTTTTGCCATGTACACGCTGTGCCGTGGGGCTCTTGTTAGTTTTTATTATTACATTAAATTCACACACGCATATTGTTGAATTACTTAAATTTCTAATTAAATTAAATGGTATAAAAATGAAATAACGCACTTTCGTAGTTCCGCCGTCTTCTTCTTCTGTATTATAACAGCGACTATTACAGCGAAAATAACATTAACATTTGGTAACCTGTTATTGACATAGATCAAAATTTATAATTGCCTCAGCTTGTTTACAGGTAAATTAGACCATTAGAATGTTTACTGTGAAAATCAGTGTGAAATCGTCCAAGACCAAGAGGAGTAAAAATATATTTTTCTAACTGAAATTAAAAACAGAGTTTGTTTTAAAAATCGATTTACCAAATCAATTCACAATATACTACTATCGATACCTTATAATATCGCCGTGAGCGAGTGCTTCATCAGTCACTCGTTAACGCCGATATTGCTATCATCTCTAGCAGTTAAAAAAAGTGCAAAAGCAGCAAAGTGAAAAATTTTATAGTGCCTCGATTTTAGGAAAAATTTGGCAATAAAAAGTCATAATATTATTAGTTTTAAGTAGATCTACCACCGTGGTGACGATTTCGTTATTAAATAAACACAGATACCATTTTAGCGGCAGATACACACACACCTTTGAAAAATCGTCATCATCGGATATAGGCCAGGGCAACGGGCGGGGACACACACACATTTCACGTACACACAAAAGACACACACACACATCCTATAAACACATACACACAGGATTCTAACTTTATAAATAGTTTATATATTTTGTTTTTTTTTTTCTATCAATTTTACTATTTGTATTTTACCTTAATTACCTTATATAAAAAAAACACAAACAACAAAAATACCCTATAAAACAATGATCAACATTCAGACTATAGAAAATGTTGCGGACTGCACGCCGCTGTATCTGCCGCACAGTTTGTACCTCAAGCCGTTGGCAAAAATGCAAATATCAGTTGCATTGCCCGAAAAAATCAAAACCGGAAAATCCGTTTCCAATCTAGAGATAATGGATAAACTCAGTGCAGAACTCAAGCCGGACAAATTTCTGGTGCTTAAGGTAAGTATGGCTGGCGAGAAGGGAAAGGAGAATTGATGTGTCCTTTGCAGCTGGTATTAAGTGTTTTATCTTCCTCAGGTCTCCAAGAGCACCGTTAACTACATACGTTTTGAGGCGGAGCTGGACGAGCGCAAGCGTTTACGTTTGGCCATTGAGCGCTTGGACGGAGTTGCCTTGCGCTTGTCTGGGTTCAGTGACGCCTTTCGTGTGCGCTGCACCGAGACAAAGGATGAGTTTCCCACCCGCCACGACTGGGACTCATATTTTCGGGATGCCCGCAACATGGACGAAATGAAGGCGGGCGAGCGACCGGACACTATACATATCACGCACCTGCCCATACGTTGGTTTTGTGCGCGCCATGCCGAAAACGACGAGCATGTGAAACCCAGCGAGAGCATCTTCAAGCGCATCTTCGAAAAGTTCGGGCGCGTGCGTACCGTTGATATACCCATCTGCGATCCGTATAGAAAGAGCATGCAGTCGGATATCAGCGGCATGCGAACGTTTAGTTTTGAGCAGGATGTGCTGTTTGAGGCGTGAGTAGCCTCATCAATGGGGGATTTACTGTAGTCCCTAACTGCTTACATTTACAGCTATGTGCAATTCGAGGAATACTCGAGCTTTGTGCGTGCGATGGACGAGTTCAGGAGCACCAAGTTGGTGCGCAAGTTCGTGGACAAGACTCAGGCCATCAACATCAACGTCAACTTTGACAAACAAAAGCATCTGAGTGATTCGCACGTACAGCGGCGCGAGCGCATGCGGAAGCGCTGCATTGCCAAGGCCCAGGCTGAGGATGAGGAGCGCGAGCGCGAAAGAAAAAAGCAAGCGGAGCTGGAGGATCGCGAAAGGTTTGACTTAAATCATGTTTGTGTACGCGGGCAGACAATGAAACCGATTGTTGCCGGGCTAACTATCAAGCGAATTTGTCGTTGCCTGGTTAGCGCAGGGAACAGATTAAGTGTATGGAAAACCATGTCCTCAAATCCATCTGTCTTTTTCTATGCAAACTAAACTCAGTTTTAAAGCTATCTTGATGAGGTAGGCACAAGCTGACTTTCTGTACAACTCTTTTGTTTTGCAAGATATCTTAACTAAATCCAGCAATTACGCGCTTGCTTTTATTTGTGTATGAGCATCATTATATCTGCATTGAATTACTTGTGATTTAGTACAAATATTTTACCTTGTGTGAAAACAATCCAATGTTAAGTATTGAAACATTTAAGAGTTGGCACTCTAAAAAAAACTATAACTTCTTCTATTCAAACATATCAATATGGGATCACTATATGTTAAGGATTTAAGCTATAGTTTGGATTCTGTTGAAATTATTCGCATTGCAATTCGCTTTGAATTGAAAGTTCAGTCTTTGGAATTCCATCGGTTTCATTTTCTATTCACTAGTTACCTATCTTTTTCGTATGTATTATATAGAGCATATATAGTCGACTATTTATCTTCATCGTATGTGTTATAAAGAGCATATATAGTCGGCTATTTGTGGCAAATTTGGCGAGCTACACAGTTTTCTGCCTCTTCTAGACGAAACAGTAACAAGTTGTTAGCAAAAACAAAACAAAAAAAAAACATGCGCAAAATTGCACAAAATTTACAGGCAAAAGCAAGAACAATTGAAATTAGCCGAGTTGGAGAAACAGCGAGAGCGTGAAGAGAAGCGAAAGGAGAAGCATCTGAAAAAGATACAGGAGCGCGGCCAAGTGGAGATCTCGCAAAAGATACGCATCGAGGAGCGCAAACTGATGATAGCGCAGCGAAAGCTAGAGAGTATACGCATCCTGGAGCAGGTATTCGAGCGGATACAGGTGAGTTGGGCCATAGTTAAACGTAATTCCAACCTCATTTTGCTCTCTTCTGCCCTCTCAGCTTAAGCAAAAGCGAAAATCGCATAGTGCCCAACATGATGAGGCTAAGGATGTGCAGCGCGGTCGCCTGGTGGAAAAGTACAAGAGTGCCACGGAGAAACTAGTCTGTGATCAACGCAAGCTTGTCCAGGAGATCAAAAGCAATACTCCGCTCATGGGCCTGCTCAAGAGCAAGTTTAAGAAGAGCAGCGGCACCGCCGCAGCCAGCAGCGAGGAAGAAGGCACGATTGGTAACAAGAGACATAAGGTTAATGGCAAGATTGTGGACGCCAGTGTACCTGCAGCAGTTGCTGCTCAGACGGCCAGTGCCAATGCGAATGTGGTACTCAATCCGTTCAAGGCCGTAACGGCCGCTTTGGCCGCGGGCGCTGTACCGGGCACAGCTGCGGCTGCCGCGTATAATGCGGAGGCAGCAAGCGAATGGATGCAATCGCTTTCCATGTTTGGCTACGGCATGCCGACCGTATTTCCCGGGGCAGCACTATATCGTGCACCCGGTCCACCGCCGTTTCCCGTGTCCAGCAATTATCGCGGGTTTGCGCCGCGTCCGCGCGGCCGTGGACGAGGTCGTGGCATGCGGGGCAGTCGAATTGGCTATGACTCTCACTCCTCCTCCTACTATAATCCGAAGCACTACGATGGCGATCGCTATGACGAAGGTGATGGCGACGATGACTACTACCATAAGTCCTCGCGCGGCAGGTGAGTGATCTCTCTGATATTGGTTGATCTTTTTATATGCTTATGGATATATTCATTGCAGAAATCGTTCACGGTCCAGCTCCTATTCGCGCAGTCGCAGCCGTTCTCGTGGACGTCGGTAAGTAGAACTGGAACGGATTATCTTCCATTGCAATATATGTGCAGTCTAATTTGTCGTTCCAGGCGTTCACATTCACGCAGCCGCAGTCGCTCCAATTATCGCAAGTCCTCTTACTCATCGCGCTCCAGGTAGGCATGGGGTTTCTTTAATAAGTGCAGTTTTTAATTTTTTACTCCTCCATATTCCACTTTAGACGCAGCCACAGTCGCTCACATTCGCGCAGTCGCAGCAAAACTCCGGCGCAGCGGAAGAATCGCAAGTTGGCCTCAACCCGACGCTCTCGCTCCAGCAGCTACTCACATTCCCGTTCCCGTTCTCGTTCCCACACACACTCGAAGCGCTCCAATTCGCGCCGTGAGCGTCGCAGTCACAGCCGTAGCCGCAGCCGCAGCAATTCATCGAAACGCATTGTCCTTGAGGCTGACAAGCTGGTGGCCTCCGCGGAGCACATACAGCGCACCATCGAGCAGCACACCAAGGATCGCATGCGAGAGGAGGTGCGCGAGATAAAACAGACGTTTCGGCATCAGCGCAAGAGCGACCAAAGAGATGCGGATGTTCATGCCGCCGATCCAGATACCAACCGGGCAACCGCGGAAGAGGAGATAGAGGCAGACAATGAACGTAAAAGACATGACAGTAGCAAGCGAAGCAGTCGACGCAATTCTATAGCCGCATAGCATAATTTTACGTTACATAAATGACACAGTTCACAATAAAATATTAAGTTAAGAATAACATGTTCATTGTAGCATCATATCGCTTACAAATTTGCACCAATATTCGTTATGGAATTATTGAATATTGCAGCGGAAATGCACCTTGCGCCACTTCCGTTCGATAAAATGTGGCGGCGCGCCCAATTGCATTTGCCCCTACAATGAAACTATCGAAAGTCAATTAATCGGTTTAGTTTTATCGATGCCGCCCGGCTAAAAATACAAGCAAGCTGCAGTTACAATTTACAATCAATTGTGTTTTCTAATAGTTCTAAATTAATATAAATCGTGTTAAGCTTAATATGGAGTTGACTTTGCCATGCCAAGTAAATATTTGATTCTCTTTTGTGTGTTTACAGAATGTGTGTGTGTGTTTGTTGCCGTTGTTGTGTTGGTGCGTCAAGTTGGGTGCTGGACTAAAACCGTCTGTTGTTGTTTCGGCCCCGATTTCGCCCACCGCCGCCTCCCCCTCCACCGCCAGAGCCGCCGTTGTTGCCCCGTCTTCGGCGTTGCTGCCCACTGCTGTTGTTGTTGTTGTTGTTGCTGCTGTTACTACTCTTTTGGAACTGTTCCCGATCCCGGTCATTGAAGCTGTCACCTCCATTGTTGTTATAGCCATTTTGATTGGCAGAGCCGCTTCCATTCCCATTGCCATAGTTTGACCAGGGTGCATTGGAGGCCCAGGGATTAGGTCGATTCGTTTCCTCGCGGGTGGCCTGGTCCATGGGTGAACCGCTGCCGTAGCTTGAGGGCTCATCGATGAATTCCGTCTTCGGCTGTTGTGCCTTGACGGTCAGCAGCGACGGCAGGAAGGGCTTCTTTAGCAGCAAGAGCTCACGCACACACACCAGTTGGGCATTATGCTGGCGTGGCTCGAATCGTGATTTTTTGAGCGGCGGCGATACCTCACTGCGTGCCTGTGCCGTCTCCACGGTCGGCGAAAGAGATCTGGAACGCTCTCGTTCTCGCTCCCGCACGGGTACGACATCACGCAACTCCTCCAATTTGCCAGAATCAATGTACTTATTCAGGTACTCGGCGCCCTGCCGAATAGCGCCCATCAGTCGCGAGTCTGGATGCACGCGTATGAAGCGCCCATAGACAAATACCCCAACGATCGTCTGGGGGTCAAGGCCGTTCAGCATGCCGCTGGCCAGGATGCCCTCGAGCGTGTTTTCGCTAATTTGCTGGTGGGTTAGTCCGTTACTTGAGTCCTTGGACTCACGCGCTGCTAGCTCGTCGTGTATACTAAGCACGCTCGGGTCGTCGGCTCGACGCGGTCCTGCCCATTGCACCTGGAAATTGCGTGGTATGGGCTTGCTGTAGGGCACTTTCTTCTCGCGATCACGATCGTTAGCCGACCTGCTGCCGGCATCCAAATCCAAGCCCGGAATAAAGCCCTTGTCCGCCGTTAAGCTTTCAGTAAACTCCACCTTATCCTCGGGTCCCATACCGGGTATCACGGCATCGTCTGTGAGTAATCCATAGGTAAAACAATTGTTCTCGTTAGAATGCTTCTAGTTACATACCATATTCGCACTCATCTAGGGCAGCTAAGCTGGCAGGAAGTGTATTCAAATTGTACTTGTCACGCATCAGATCTCCAGGTCGGTTGCGTGTCCAGAATTTGATGGTGTGATCATTAGAGCCTGAGCACAGAATGTGGCCAAGCGGATGCCAGGCGAGTGTCCACACTATGCTGTCGTGCGCCGTCTCAACACATCCAATTTCCTTGTCCGTGCTAAAAATTATACAAATTATTATCAATTAATATGTATAGAAATAGGTCTCTTTAAGAACACCTCTATATGTTCATAAAGCTCAAAAAATGTTAGTTATACTTCAGTACTTCTTATAACTGTTTCTCTAACAACTAATTAAGTACGCCTATAATTATGATTAGAAAAGTTGTCAAATTCTAAAAATTAACTTCTCTTAACTATTTTAATAGTTCACTTTTAATGACATTTTAACCTTTAATGAGACCCTTCTTATTAGGTGTTGTTAACCGGCTTTGTCTGGGAAAAATTAAGATTTAAGATTATCTAAATCGGATAATTTGAAATGTTTGCCTTTATGTTCTATTTAGCTGATCAGACAGACTAAACAGACTCTGTCTTCGCGTTTTTCCCAATAGTGAAACGAATTTTCTAAAACTGTCAGACTTACGCAATTGTAATATCTGCTAAGGAAGGAAAAATATTAAGACAAGTTTTAAACAGGGTTTAAAATAACAGATCTCAGACAGACAAGCAATATCAATAAAAAAAAGTCTTTAAAGGGGGTTATGCTATGTCATTGTTGATAAAGGTAGAAAATCCGCTTGATAAACGCACCCCACGTTCCAAAAGAGTATGGAACCATCCGAGCCGCCAGAGCAGAACAGGCCCTCGTGTATGGGATGCCAAGACACAGAGCTGGCCTCCTTCTTGTGACCACGAAAAACTTGCACCTCTTCGCGCAGATTACGAATGTCAAACAGTTTGAGCAGATGATCACGCGAGGCTGTGACCAGCCAATTGCCATTGTCGTTCCATTTGAGATCCATAACAGTCGATTTGTGGGCATGGCTGCAGGATATGACAGGGTTAAATAAATCAGCAATGTAATAAGTGAGATTATTGACCGGGGATCTACTTACAGCGTGGCCAGCGCAATGCCACTCTTTGGATCCCAGATTTTAATGGGCTGCTGGTTGTCCTTGCTGCCGCTGACGATCATCGCCTTCTGTGGATGCCAATGCACGCATTTTACATCCGCGCCGTGACCTGCGACCAAGTGATCAGTTAAAGGGTGGACTAGGATGGCGGGTTAAGGTGTTGTGGTACTTACCGCGCAGCACGCGCTCCTCCTGGCAGCGCATAAAGTCCCAAATGCGCAGAGTTCCATCATCGCTACCGCTGACAAATTTGCTGTCCGTGGGACTAAAACTGCGGTTGGGGTGTTTGGAATGATTCGGAATCGGAGAGACACAGCGAGGTTAGAAAAATGGAAACGAAACACAAATAGAATATAGATGTGCGTGCGTGCGTGTGTGTGTGTGTGTGTGAGTACGTGTGTAATAGAGAAGTGAAGCCTGCAATTATAATCATGAGGCTCGCAAAAAGTTGACTGCCGGCGCGCTCTTTGTCTCTCTCGCTCACTCTCTCTTTGTATGCCCCTCAGCAGCAGCAGCAGCAGGCGTTAAAGAAAACACTCGAACCCCCGAATTTGAATATAAAATGTTTGCTTTTAGCATTTTATTTTTTGTTGCTGGCCACGGCGCGCAAATAAAATTGTGCAAAATTGTGTTTGGTTTTTTTTTATGTTAGTTTGCCTTTATTGTATTTCTGGTATGAATTTTGTTTTGCATATCTTGACACAATTTCAAAAATAATTTATTCAATTGAATTTAATTTTTGACAGTCTTTTTAGTGTTAAGGCTAGAAATCACAGTGGTAAATACATTCTTAGAATGGTTATTATTATTTTTTTTTTTTTTTTAACTTAGTCTTGACTATTGGAACTATACGGGAAAATACTGCGCGCACGCGAATATTCGCTAGCTAAACAGAGAATCGAGGGACCTGGCTTGTTGCTCAAATTACGGCTTTATTGAGTTATATATTGCAACAGCCCCCGAAAGGAAACACGAAACGAATCGCAACGAAACTAGCGGCTAACAAACTAACTGCAACTGAACACACGACCCAGGGCCCAGGTGACGATGGCGAGGAGGAGAGCATTAAGAGATTTGCATGCTAAACTGCCACTGCGCAACTGTAAACGAGCTAACTTTGGGTGGTTCGGTGGTGGCCTCATGCTTGCGGCAACAGCGGCTGCGAAATGGTAAATACAATTGACAATTACAATCATTAGGCAATACCTTATTCCCCTAATCGCCTCCTTGTGCGCCTGATACATCTTCACGTTATTCATGTTCGACTGCCAATACTTCACATAGCCGCCATGATCGCCCGTTACCATCCAGCTGTCATTATGGGACCACACCATCGTGCGTACCGCAATATCGTGGGCCTAGATTAGGTATTTGTATCAATTTGCTCTTCGTTGATCTGGCAGACACTCACCTGTAGAATAGTCTCGAAGTTAAAGGTGAGGCCATTCCAAAGCGTAAACTCGCCGGAGCTGGCGCCCGTTACCAAACGTCTTCCCTCTGGCGTCCAGGCAAGCGTAAAGATTGGACAACGCATTTTGTTTGTGGCCGTTTTGACGAATCGCGTCGTTATCGCATTTGCAGGATTGTCCAGAGAGCTAGAGGGTGGAAGCATCTGTGGCACATAAATGCTGTCCGGCTGCAGTGCCAATCGATCCCTATAGTCGCGTTGCCAGAGGCGAGCCTAACCAACGAGAGTTAAACATTAATTGTGCACTTATTATAATCATCTTGGACACTTACCTCCAGCGCCTTGATAATGGATGCATTATAGTCAACCGTTTTACGCATGACGCTCTTGCGCAGCCGCTTGCCATCAAAGTCGTCCTGGGACATGCCAAAGGGACGTTGGAACCCACCAGGCATGAAGGGCTTAAAGTGATTATAGCCCTGCTTGCCGGCTCCATGATGAGGGTGGTAGTGTCTGTAGTGCTGGCCGCCCATTGACGGCGGCGGCATCGATGTGAAATTCGTTGCCAGCGCCGATGGCGCCGTCAATAGCTGTGGCGGCGGCTGAGATAGGTCCATGGCTGTTACCGATTTGAGCGCCGTATTTGCTTAATTCTTGCTTTCCTCCTTTCTCCTTGTTTTTAAAGAAAATTTCTTAAGTACGGATATTGTATTAAATTAGCAGAACCAGTTCTTTAGTTCGATTTCGATTTTTGCAGACTGCTACGATTTGTGTTTTGCAATTGTGTTGAAAAGGAAAAACATTGAGCTCAGTAGAAACATTTGTTGCTGTATCCGATATTCAAACCGTGCAACAAACAATTAAATTCACATTAGCATGATTGCAACAATTCATATATTTGAACTAAATCGAAAAAAATGCACGCACACCCATATACACGCAGACGCATGTGAAACGTGTGTAGCTGATTTTCTGCTCTTTTTTTTGCTGGTGCGTTCTTATCCTATTAACTTACTTGTCGCTCTAGTGCTTAGTCATTTTGTCTACCAAACAATGTTCATAGTAAATAACTATTTAATCTTCTTTTATTATAATTAAATTGGTCGCGTGGATTAGAGTTGTACTGATGCGTTCGGAATGAGTTCTGTCGAACGACTCACTAAACTGAACAAATGAACTGATTCGATTGTTGTTCATTTGGTTCGTTTTATTTTTTATTCGTTCGAAATTAACATTTTGCTTATCGAACAGAAAGCGCCTTTTTTTGCCGGGAATCTAAAATGAAAGTAACGAGTACGTCGTTCAACTTCACCAATTGTGTACTGATAAATAATAACTCAAAAATAAGAACGAATTTATTGGGTGTAAGAAAAGGAAATATGCGAAGAATTTCAATATAATCACCCAAATTGTCTCCGTAATATTTGACAGTGTAATATTGATAACAGTGTCATAACATTCTCGTATTAGAGAGAGACTGCAAACTTGTTCGCACTAGTGCTCAGCGACGGCAATATTGAATTGGTTCACTATCGATATTGAAAAATCATTATCGATAACATAACTACTTTTTGGGGTGTACAACTAGTGCATCTCTAAACCGGGCTTTGGGCTAACAACTTTTATATACACCTGCGCTTGCGTTCGTGGGCTCAGTAGGTCGTCGTTCGTTGTTGAGTTCATACTAGCATTGAGTTCATAGCATATTACAATTGGCAGTTAAATTCAAATAGCTGTGTTGAGCGCTGTGTAAATTAATCATTTAATTAATTGTGTTTTGTTTTGATATTTGACTTTAAAAGTTATATGCCTTTTGAATATCAACTAAATGAAAATAATTTATCTCCAACAGCTAAACAGCGTCTCGTTAACGTTCACGTAAAAGATACAACAAATTGCAGCTTGCGCTTAAATCAATATTGTTAAAACGGTTAACATGCAAACAGTTATTAAGTAAGTTGCTGTCATCATTCCCACACAAATGGGTATTATATTTGAATTGAATTTTGTACTACTGCATTTTCGTTATCTCTGTTTTAACTCCATTTCACTTGCCTGCTCATTCCCACTCGATTGTACAATATTTGTAAGCGCGTCAAACAAAAAAGAAAGTTGCGCATGTTTATTAAAAACACGTTCCGCGTAGTTCGATTTGGGATTAAGAAAACTGGACGCGGACCAGTTGTCTTTTTCTACTCAATCTTGTTCATATTTCGGTTTTGCTTTGATCCAAACTCGCTTAGTTCTTAACAAGTTCCCTTTTATTTTTTAAATCATGTTTGCCTTGCAATTTAAGTGTTTATCAACCATATATATGCCGTTAAAAAAACCAAAATCGAAAAGTTTTAATGAAATCAGAAATTATTAAAACAAAGTTGCATACATTTTTTTAACAACTTTGCCTTCACTATTTTTGATTCCTGCTGTTGGTCGTTTTCCACATTTAAGGTTTTCATTAGCCCAACCTTTAAATGTAACGTGTTCTTTTCTCATCTGCTTGTTTATTATATTATCATATTTTCCCAAACTTCTATCTTGCGCATGTTATTTGAAAATTATTGCCGTGTTGTCATGCCAACAAAATATATATATAATGATATATTACATATGTTATAACTGTATTTATTTACACAACTTATTTAATTACAATTAATATAGTACATGAAAAAGAGCTGCGATTATTTTCTATGATTCGTGCAATGTTTTGTGTATATACTTTGTCCCGCTAATTGTTCAGATGCGTTTGCTTAGCTTTATGTTTTTCACATGATTCTTTAGAATAAGCCCTGTGGCAACAATTTAGCAATATACGTGACTAAAAAGAGTCTCTTTGAAATGGCTTTCTCATTTCCTGGTAGAAATGTGTCTAAGTTCGAGAATTTTTGTTGGAAAAAAATGATGCTCGAGTTATTTATTTTTTCGTGAATTTTAGTCAGACTTAGCTGGATTATTTATTTAAAATATAATTGTGTAGAGAATTTGATCTACCAACTTTTAAGAATAAAGATAAAGATATTCTTTCTTTTATTTTCCGCAGTGGAGTTGCTTTTAATTATTTAACCAAAATGCAGTGCATGCTGCTTTAAAAAAAAAAATCAGTTTTTTGCTTTGAAGACAATGCATTTAAAGTTGTGGAAGGCTCTCTTAAGAAAATGTTTCATCATATCAGCAAAATATTTGCACAATTCAGCCAAAAATTTGACGCTTTTTGTTGTTCTGTCATCTGCATAATGTTTAAGCGACATTTATTGCTTTTGTTTTAAGCTTGAACATATTTCAGACTGGCTGGCAAACTAAATGTACAAACACATTCATCTAAAAAACCAAATAAAAGACTCACAAAAAAACTCTTTGTCCGATAAATATAAAAACAAATTCACACCTATGCCAGGTTTTTAGATAAAAGTGCCTTACCGGTTTTACAGCTTTTGACTAATTCTTAAAACTGAGTGTTTATTTGATTTCTTCGAGCGGTATTTAGGCCAGCCAAATCAACGCGAAATCAGCCAAGAACTAAAGTTTTTTAAGTCTTGGGCCAACGCAGTATTTTATTGGTGTATGTGCACACACACACACATATATTGTGTGTGCATTGTTTTTGGCTGTTGTTGTTGTTGCTGTTGTTGTTATTGCTGCTGTAGTTGCTTATTTGCTCAAATTGCATAATTAAATGCACGCAGACCTTAACGTGGTCAAAAGCAGCGACTTCAGCAGCGGCAGCGGCAGCGACGGCAACTGCAACTGCAACTCCAATTATGGTCAGTCATTTGGCCATGCGGCTGCGTTTCTTTTGTACAACTATTTCTGCTGAAGGTGAGGCTTGCGGTTGAAATCTGCCACGCCCCCAAGACCTACATGCCCACCTAAGGGGCTTGCATCGGGCATAATGTGTTGCAACCTAAACAAACTATGCCACATACCCTTTTAGCCACATTTGTACACTGCGCGCTTCTTACACTTTTTTCCTGCTGTGAATAGTGTGTAGGGCGTTGGGGGTGGGGCTCCTGGGCTTATCAGCTAAACAATCTCGAACGCACTGTTTATATAGATGTGCGGCAAATTAATTAAACCACACATTTCAATGCTCACTTTCACACAGATGCCCTGATTGCCGCAGCCATAGAACGGCCACTAAATGTAAACAAATGTCCACCGACTTTATAAAAATAATATTTCGCAATGTCCGTCGTTTTTCCAGTCGGTCGATGTCCGAGGTTAACGTATTGCCTTGACCCGCAAATATTTATAAACCTTGGATTTGCTGCGGGAAGGGAGATCGGTATGCTTAAATTGTGCATATAATAGTAAAAAGATTATGGGCGATTCTTTGTTGAGGAATGGAAACCACTTTCAATTTTTTATTGTTGGAGGAAAATGGGAAATTATAAAAACAGTTTCCTTAATTTTGAACACAAAAACCACTGAGAGATATATATGCTTGCTGCTTTGCGAATGCCTCCAACTCTAAAAATATGAAGCAAAGCTTTTGGGAAATGTTTTCTTTGGGATCTTAGTTCCATTAAAATGTTGTCCTTCATAAGACTGCAGCTAGAGAAGGGCATGGTCCAGATTTTTACGGCGCACTTTTGCACAGATTCTCGGGAAAAAATAACCAACGTGAACGAGAATTTATTTTATTTATTAATGAGCTCGATGTTCACTGAGAATGTTGAGAATGTTGTCTAATATCTGAAGGAATTTTAGAAAAAAAGAACTCGTTTTCCCACATTTTAAGAAGAAGTACGTCTTTCATTGCATAATATAGTTCTATCTTAATATCTATTTCGCTTCAAGTTTATAATTTCATCTTTCTCTACTCGCATGCAAAAACTCGAAAACTTGTTTTTCAAATTTTTGAGTGAAATATGCCCACGATGCACTTGGTTTGAGACGAAATGTATACCAGATATAATTATTTTTACTGTGGCCTGGATCTAGAGATCATGTGCTTCTTGCTGAGGATTGGTGAGGATTGCATAGAACGCGCACCAAATAGAAATTCAGAAGTTCGGATCTTTTGAAATTGCCGACTTTAATATTGTACTTGACTCTTATATATGAGCCCCGATTAGATGAGATTTTATTTGGATAATTCCTATACGGTGTAAATCTTAGAAAATAACTTTCAGGTGTGCTAAATTTCTAGACTGCTTCTTAGTGTAAAAACACTTGTCCAAATTCCAAATTAACGAGATAACAACTTCTTTTTGTTGCCTAAGTAAGTTAATTGTGTTTGTTTTGACGAATTCATGAAATTCTTCTGTGCGATTCTTCGGCCGCATCGTGCTTCCTTATAGCCGACGTAAATCTTTGAAAAGCAGGCCAAAAGAAATGCCAAATGCCCTGCCCCAGTCTTGATGCGTAATTGCAGTAAATTTTGGAGCGTGTAGCGCACGTAATAGGCCCGGTCTTTGACTTCTTGGCGTAAACGCCTTTATTACTCACCCCACTCATAATGAACAATCCGAGTGTAATGCGGGGCATTTGTCAAGCCAGGTGATTGATGTTGTCAAAGCCCGGCTCCAGCTCAGGTTGCAGTTGGTTTCTCATCGAAAGACATTACGTGTACTTGTTTGTTTCGTACATAATTTCGGTGATTTGATGGGGCCAAAGAGGATTTGTGTGGGATCTCTGGAACCGGGAAGATGCGCAGTACGTGCCTCCAGCACTTTAATTTCGGGCACGCGTCGAGTTGACTGAGAATTAACTCTGTGATTCAATGTGATTTAACCCAACATCTGGTAGAATTTCTTCGAACCAGGCCGCAACTTAAACATTGAACTTTGTTGTCAGAAACGTGAGATGTTAAGCCTAAATAAGTAAAATAAAAAAAATACTACTCTAGCCACTGCACTCGACTAGAAGAAACTCTCTAAAGAGTATCTATGAAAAATAATTATTCTTAATAGGCACGCATTCCTGTGAATCTTCAATTTTTCGCATACATTTCTTATGAATAATATCTATTCAGGTTGTTCTCATTGTTTTTCGCATTTTTCCTCAGTAACACTCTCAAGTTTCAAGTTCCAGCTGATATTGGTTATAAAACATTTTGAATACAATGTAAATACAATTGTACAATAATTTTGAGGTCAATATTTAAGGTGGAAATTTCGCTGGCCTTTTGTTGTAGACACTAAATGCCGAATGCATATTTAATGATTCGCCCTGCCATTGGGCTTGTTTATGCGACTCCGTCGTAGGCAATACGCTTGCCTAAAGAGCGGGCACCCACCCAAAAAACAAAAAAAATAATAAAATAAATAACAAATATTTCCATTTCGTTTAGCATGCAAAACGCACCGTCGAATATCAATGAAAAACTCTGTGAGACATTTTGACATATGGCAGCCTTGGCGTCTCGGGCTGTTATCTGTGAGTTTTTGTTGAACTGTACATTTTTTCAAGTATTTGGCAACCCTGCCATGTTACCGTTATTTATGTGGCTGGCCCTGATGCTGAAGCGCAGCAAATGGCAACTGCCGCTGCAGTTTTCATTGAATTTCCGCTCGCTTTTCCTGCCCACCTGGCAGCCTTTTAAAAGGCACCAACTTCCTGTCACGCCCACAGCCCCTAGGCAATTTCATTGTCGCTGACTTCTTCCTGCTGGCAAATTGCCTGCGTCCTGTTGATAAATAGATTTCAAAGCGCACTAAAAGGCCTTGGCTTTGCTTTTCTCGCTAATGTGACTTAGGGCCAAGATCTAATAAAAATAATGCACTTTAGACAGCACAAGTTCAAGTTTAAGCCGCGGTTAGAGACCGAGCCAGAGAAGTACAGAGAGAAACACAAAGTTACGGAAAATGATTTCATGTGAAGATTTCTCGAGCACATCCAACGAAATATGGAACATATTTAGATGTATAAAAAAGCGAATAAATTTAAATACCGAAATAAACAAAACATTTGCTGACTTCATCAAAATTTCTAACTTTCCAGTTTTTTCGAAATCG